TAACAAACTGAAGGATAAAAACCATATGATCATCTCAATAGATGCAGAAAAATCTTTCGACAAAATTCAACACCCATTTATGATAAAAATCCTCCAGAAAGTAGTCATAGAGGGAACTTGCCTCAACATAATAAAGGCCATATTTGACAAACCAACAGCAAACATCATTCTCAATGGTGAAAACCTGAAACCGTTTCCACTAAGATCAGGAACAAGAACAAGTTGCCCACTCTCACCACTACTATTCAACATAGTTTAGGAAGTTTTAGCCACAGCAATCAGAGAAGGAAAAGAAATAAAAGGAATCCAGATTGGAAAAGAAGAAGTAAATCTCTCACTCTTTACAGATGACTTGATACTATACACAGAGAATCCTAAGGATGCTACCAGAAAACTAATAGAGCTAATCAATGAATTTGGTAACGTAGCAGGGTACAAAATTAATGTACAGAAATCTCTTGCATTCCTATACACTAATGATGAAAAATCTGAAAGAGAAATTAAGGAAACACTCCCATTTACCATTGCAACAAAAAGAATAAAATACCTAGGAATAAACCTACTTAAGGAGACAAAAGAACTGTATGCAGAAAACTATAATACCCTGATGAAAGAAATTAAAGATGATACAAATAGATGGAGACATATATCATGTTCTTGGATTGGAAGAATCAGCATTGTGAAAATGACTACACTACCCCAAGCAATCTACAGATTCATTGCAATCCCTATGAAACTACAAATAGCATTTTTCACAGAACTAGAACAAAAAAATTTCACAATTTGTATGGAAACACAAAAGACCCCGCATAGCCAAAGCAACGTTGAGAAAGAAAAACGTAGCTGGAGGAATCAGGCTCCCTGACTGCAGACTATACTACAAAGCTACGGTAATGAAGACAGTATGATACTGGTACAAAAAAAGAAATATAGATCAATGGAACAGGATAGAAAGCCCAGAGGTAACCCCACGCACATATGGTCACCTTATCTTTGATAAAGGAGGCAAGAATATACAATGGAGAAAAGACAGCCTCTTCAATAAATGGTGCTAGGAGAACTGGACAGCTACATGTAAAAGAATGAAATTAGAACACTCCGCAACACCATACACAAAAATAAACTCAAAATGGATTAAATACTTAAATGTAAGGCCAGACACTATAAAACTCTTAGAGGAAAACATACACAGAACACTCTATGACATAAATCACAGCAAGATTGTTTTTGACCCACCTCCTATAGAAAAGGAAATAAAAGCAAAAATAAACAAATGGGACCTAATGAAACGTAAAAGCTTTTGCACAGCAAAGGAAACCATAAACAAGAAGAAAAGGCAGCCCTCAGAATGGGAGAAAATATTTGCAAATGAAGCAACTGACAAAGGATTAATCTCCAAAATATACAAGCAGTTCATGCAGCTCAATATCAAAAAAACAAACAACCCAATCCAAAAATGGGCAGGAGACCTAAATCGACATTTCTCCAAAGAAGATATACAGATTGCCGACAAGGACATGAAAGGATGCTGAACATCACAATCATTAGAGAAATGCAAATCAAAACTATAGTGAGGTATCACCTGACACTAGTCAGAATGGCCATCATCAAAAAATGCAGAAACAATAAATGCTGGAGAGGGTGTGGAGAAAAGGGAACCCTGTTGCACTGTTGGTGGGAATGTAAACTGATACAGCCACTATGGAGAATAGTATGGAGGTTCCTTAAAAGACTAAAAATAGAACTACCATATGACCCAGCAATCCCACTACTGGGCATATACCCTGAGAAAGCCATAATTCAAAAAGAGTCATGTACCACAATGTTCATTGCAGCTCTATTTACAAAAGCCAGGACATGGAAGCAACCTGTCCATTGACAGATGAATGGATAAAGAAAATGTGGCACATATATACAATGGAATATTACTCAGCCATAAAAAGAAATGAAATTGAGTTATTTGTAGTGAGGTGGATGGACCTAGAGTCGATCATACAGAGTGAAGTAAGTCAGAAAGAGAAAAAAAATACCATATGCTAACACATATATATGGAATCTAAAAAAGAAAAAAAAAAAAGGTCATGAAGAACCTAGGGGCAAGATGGGAATAAAGACACAGACCTACTAGAGAATGGACTTGAGGATACGGGGAGGGGGAAGGGTAAGCTGGGACGAAGTGAGAGAGTGGCATGGACATATATACACTACCAAATGTAAAATAGCTAGTGGGAAGCAGCCGCATAGCACAGGGAAATCAGCTCGTTGCTTTGTGACCGCCTAGAGGGGTGGGATAGGGAGGGTGGGAGGGAGGGAGACGTAAGAGGGAAGAGATATGGGGATATATGTATATGTATAACTGATTCACTTTGTTATACAGCAGAAACTAACACGCCATTGTAAAGTAATTATACTCTAATACAGATGTTTAAAAAAAAAAGAAAATTAAGATTAAAAATTCAAGCATAAATGTAAGATTAATAGCTGAAAACAAAAATTAAAAAGTGGAAAGGTAAAGTAAAATATATAAAATACATGTGTAAGTGGGAAAATAAATATATTATTGAAGGGAATGATTACAAACAGGTTTTGGAAGAGATAAGCAAACAGAGGGAAAAGTCCCTCTGAATAGAAAAGGAGTGAAAGTTAATTGTGAAAAACTGGAGGCTCAAAATAGAAAATGTGATGAAGGGCCGAGTAATGGAGAAGCAATAGAAGCACAGACTCAAAGGAGATTTCAACATTTAAAAGCAGACTCGTTTCTAGAAGCTTGACAGACTGAGCCAGCACAGATTCCTCTTACATCTACAAACAAGTAGAAACGTTGGATAAAATATGCCAAAATAACCTTCCAAAACATAGCTGAGCTCAAAAGATAGGAAGTCTGCAGGTGGTAGAACAAAGAAGAAACACAGCAGAAGGCTGCGGAGGCTAAAACTCGGGGGTCTGTGGCAAGTCTAGGTCCCCGGAGAGCAGAGTCCATGGTAAGTTGTGTGTCAAAAGCTGACTGAGGTCACACCTGTGGGGAGAAAGGGCCACAGGATGGGTTGGAAGCAGCCCGTGAACTGAGATGCTTTGCAGTGCTGTCCTCAGCTGAGCCTACAGGGCGTTTTGGAGCTGAGATGTCGCCAGTCAAAAGACCTGACCTTTAGCTCCACAGCAGAGTCATTCTATATGACCTGTTCCCAAAAGGTGGCATGACCTTGGGGGAGGGCAGGTCCTTGAGAGACTCAGCTGGGAGCTGTGAGCCTGCAGCCAGCAACCCCCAGCATCTTGGGGAATGAGAGCTTCACTCCAGGGCCAGGAGGGTGGTTTTGGAGACATGCATATAATTTTCTTTGATGCTATGGATAATTTTTATTTATTTCTTTTAGCTCCACCTATATAATTTTGACAATCTTGAATAATTTTTCTTTCCGAGTTGTTGGGAAGATACCATCAAGTGGCCCACTGTCCTCTCTCCAACGGGTGTACAATGACACTTAAATAGATGCTACTTATGTACAAATATATTCACTTCAGTGTTACTTACATCAGTGGAAAAATTGAAAATGAGCAGAATGCCCCCAAATATGGGAATGATAAAATTATATGCAGCTATTAAAATTATGTTTTCAAAGAATGGGTACTAAGATGTTAACCTATGCATTTACATGGCACAGATTGTGTGATTCTCATCTTCTAAAACATTTGTTCTTTTAAACGTTACTCTAATTGTTGATGCATAAAAATAGGAAAGAAAATAGATCGAAATAATGGCAGAGTTCAGCTCTATAATTTATGGACATTTCAATGCCTTGTATTTCCCAAGTTATCTAAGATCATATATTACTTTATAATCATAAAAAACAAGTTGTTTATAAAATAAAGAAATAATTATGCTGAATTAGACTCCATTAATTTGCAAATATATATTTGATAGGAAAAGTGATCTCTGAGAGTGAAACAGTACTATATTGCGAGCAGATTTTCAATAATATTTTTGACATTTTTTTCAGTCTTATTTTCAACACTATTTTCAAGGTGAATGAGAGAAAGAAGTAAATCTTGAGTATTCCTCAGTCCTACTCTAACTTGTGTGAGGATTTTCTTGGAAAAGTCCCCCATATGTCTCCGTGTGTGTGTGTGTGTGTGTGTGTGTGTGTGTATTAAACTTCTGTCTTTTGGAGCCTTTCATAAGACGACTCCAACTGCATTAAAGTCAAGTTCCCTTTGCGTATGATTCTCACTAGATAGAGGAACGTGGTCGAATGACATTTTTCTAAGGCTCCCAATCTCACTAACCCACAAGCAAGGAAGGAATCCGCAGTTCCCACTTTTACAGAACAAAAAGAAAATGATAAATTGTTTCAATCAAGGGATTTTTGAATGAACGAACTTCTCTCCTAGAAGTTAATTTTGTTTCTTTGCTTGTATTATAAGAGCTAGTCATTAAAAAAAATCTGCAAACCATGCACACTGAAACTGTGGAGAGACCCATATTAGATTTCATTATTGCTTGTGTTTTCTTCCTCTCTGTCTCTCTCTCTCTACCTTTCCTCCCTTCCTCTTTTCTCCTTTCTGTTACCTTGAATTCCAAACTCCTTTCCTCTAATTCCTGTTGTTTTCTTCCATCACCCTTAAATCTTTTCCCCCTCATCATCTCCAGGTTGTTTTATGCATTTCACAGTGAATTTCCTTGTGCCGGGTGGGCAGTGACCAAGGAGACTCGCTGAGAACCATGGTTTTAGAAGCTCATGTGTTTGAGAGCCTGTAAAATCCTGCCTGGCCTCAGAGATTTGAAATTGCTTCAATCTATATTTTCTCTGTCTTTTATGCTTTTAAAGTTTCACATCCAATATGCTTTTAAAGTTTCACATTTTTATCCAAAGCATGGATTCTGAGAATTTGACAAAGCTGATCCCCTGTATGCAATTTCCATAAATCCCTTAAAGTATTTAACCCGCTCTTCTCCTTTTGTAAAAAATGTCTAACAAAATCACAGGGGAAAACAGTTGTTCTCGACATCACAACAGTTTAATACATTAACTTATTCATTAAATTGTGCTTCACATCAATGGGAATCCTCAGTTCTACAAACTATCATCTTTAAACAGCAATAAAGGTTGATAATGTCACAATACAATCTCTGAGTACCCAAGTTCATACATATTATGGCACAGAAACAAAAAGAAATATCTCTTAGGAGAAATCATTTACTATCTATTGGATAACTATCTTTACGTCTAAAATGGGGCACCAGATAAAAGTCCAGATGCTTCTTTCCAGATGCTTTTTCATTTTGGATACGTTAAATGAAAAATAATGCAAGCAAAACCCAGAAAGTACTTCTGGGGAGGGAGATGGGCAGGAGGAAGGAAAAGAAAATATGGCCACATGATAAAAAAAAAATGACAAGTTGGTGGAAGACAAATGTGCCAATGACTAAATCATACACATTCTGCTCCCTCAGACAGTTTTCCCCAGCAAGAACTGAAGCTTTTCAGCACTGACATCTGGCCCTTTGATGAATTCCCGCAGTGCAACAGAACGTGTAACCCACAGAGGTTCCACTTAATGTGCCAAAGGATGACAGTTGCAGTCTCGTCCATAAACGACTCAGAACACAGGCTCAAGAAACATCTGTGCTTCTGTGTTCTCAGATCCATAGTTTTGTTAGATGACCTCGAGTCCTGGCTTGGAAGTTCAGGGGCTTTTGTCTTGCAGATGTTGCTGGTGTTCATAGCGAGGCCAGTCCTCAGGAAATCTCAGCACCTCTCCAGGGTAGGTTGGTTCTGTAGATGTGTTGTGAAGATGGGTCCATGTGCATTCTGGCTACAAAACACACAGGTCTCAGAACCCGCCCACTTGCCCAGAAGGGCTAATTCAAAGTTTTATGGAGTTCGTTCAGATGCGTCCAGCTGAATGTGGTGAGGGAAAGCAGGCTTACGTCCAGTAGCGATGGAGGGAGGGGGTTAGAAGAAAAGCCGGAAGTGCTTTGGAGAAAGAACCGTTGCATGCTTCCCAGAGGTGGCACTATTGGGTAGAGTCATCAGACTCAGCCAGCCCCAATACCCACCTGCAGACTCAGCTGGAGCTCTGCTGACCAGTGGACGTATAGTAACTATGGAAAAGAAAAACCTTAGAGACACAGCTGTGATCAGATCACAGTGCTCTGCCTAAGTCTGACCCAGCTTTCTCTTTGCTCCAACTCCAGTTCAGTCCCTAAAACCACCGCAATGCTCTGATCCTGTCTCACGAGCCTCATGCCTTTTCCTGCTGTTTTCAGTGGCCAAAAGAATCAGTCCACATGGCTCCAGACTGCCCTTGACCCTGAGGATAGAAACTACATTAAGTTACTTTTCTGTGTTTCCATATTCCCTGGCACTTACTTAATTCCTCATCTTTCCACCTTTGAAAGACCTGCCCCCTTTTAGAAGGCCTATTTTCCTCCACAGTTACCCCTACTCTCCCAAACCCCACCTCTGCATGATCCCATCCTACGGGCGCTGCTTCTCAGCTAGAGGTCAGGGATGGAGAGGAATCAGATGAAACCTCTGTGCGAAGATGTTAGCTCATGACGACTTAAAGCGTTTCCTTTCCCGGGCAAATGTGCAAAGGGACTCATTTAACACCAAATAAAATCAAGAACCCAAACAGTATGTTGCTGATAAAATTCCACGGACCTGGGGAAGAAGTAGAGAAGAAGGGAGATTTTTTGAGCAGGAGTTCTATTGATCTCCCATGAAGCTTCTCTACTCAGGCTGCAGGTGCTTGAGTGGTCGTGCTTCGAGATCTCCCTGCAACACTGTCCATCTCTTGGACATTTCACTCCTAATAAGAGGGTCTCTCCATGGAGGCAGGGGGTTGAGAGCCAACTCTACCCCCCTCCTTGGCACTTTCTAAGTCGCTGCAGCTCCATGAGAAGGTAAGAGAAGATATAAATCAATAAAGATTTAGATTTCATATTCTTGCTATTCTCGATCCCAATACTGATGATGAGCATAAAGTAGTAGAAAATATGAAGTCAGAAGACTGGGGCTCTGAGCACCTGTCTTGTTAGTAAGCTAGACGCTTTAGGAAATCGTTCATCATCCCTGAATCTCCACGTCAAACTGTTGAATGGGATTAATGAATAGAGGTCCTATTTTACATGCAAGAATGTAGTAAAGATCAAATGAGATACTAGATGTAGAAATGTTTTGAAAAGCATTAAATACTATACAAAGTTACAAATTTCAATCTTAGCCTTTGCAAAATAGATGACGAAATAGATGACATTGAAAAGCACTTGAAATATTTTTCAATTTCCTTTTGTGTCAGAGACTGATAGCTTTGATCAGTATTAATTTTCACATTGTTTCTTTAATAACAGAACCCTTATATGTATCAAGGCACATCGCAACCAATAATGATGACATTTCCTGGCCTTCTTTGCAGCTAGATGTATCTAATGGCTAGCCAACGAGATGTGACTGGAACTGATATGTACAACTTCTCTCCACTTCCTCTCGGCTGTCTTAAATAAAATTGAGATGGCAGGAACTGCAGTAGCCATGTCGGACCTTGAGCTGGAAGCTGTACAGTAGTATGAGAGGGCCTAGGATTCTGGTAAGATCACACACGAGACCAGTTTGTCTTTAAAGCAAGCAATTGCTTCAATCTTTTGAAGTCACTATTATTTTGAGTTTCTCTGTTAAAGCAGCCAAGTAGGAATCCTACTTAATGGACTTGTATTTATTTTTTAATGATCTTTGCTGACCTCCTTGCTAGGTCTATCTGGTAGATCTTCTCCCCCATATTCATATGACCTCCAGTCAGACTTTTGAACAAGTCCTTATATTTCAAACCCTTGATCAAACCATTTCTGACACAGTTACCTCCTTTAGGGGATAAGGAACAGATTTTTATAATTTTTAATAACATACGTGATAACCTTAACTGTTGCCTAACACTGATTGCTAATGTTAGCAATTATTAGAAAGAGCATTCAAATAATTCTCAGGGCAGGTTTTCTCTATTTGTCAGAAGTAGGTTGCCAAAAAGTTAAAAGGAGACAGAATATATAGTATGTACCTCAGACCTTAATAATAATTTAAACACACACACACACAGACATCTTATCCCAGTGTGGTTACTGGAGTTGCCATTGCCAGAGAAGGAAAGGAAGGTCTATCTGGGAATTGTAGGAGCTGGTAGGACACGGAACTTAGGGATTATTGATTGATTGATTGATTGCCTCTTCTTGGCTTTTAACACGAATGTATCTGGAATTGCTTTGGTTTGGGGTCTTAAGGCTGCTGGCTTCCCATGGATCCTTAGGCCCAGAGGCCTCCTGCTGACTGACATCCCTTCCCTGAGCTGAGCATCACTTGGCATGTAGGTGTGCAGCTGACTTTCAGAGAACAAACTGCGTCCCCACCTCTTCATTTCTATCAACATAGGACACCAGGGAGAGGATAAGTATGCTGTTTTAGAATGAAATGATACGAGGGAGGAAGCTCGTGTCTGTCTTTTTAATTTGCTCAGCACTGGCCTCGGGCCAATACCAAGAGATGGTTTCTCCTCTGAACATCCTGATATCGGGTCTCCAGTGCAGCCCCATACATCACACCTTCAGCATCAAGGCCGAGGAAAGCCTTTTGATATAAATCCCGAGGTGCCTAAGGAACAGCGTGAAGTTAGCAGAGGCTGCCGCCAAGTCTCAGCTATGCATGAATTCCCTGCCAAAAATGTAAAGTGAGTTGAAAGGAAACAATCTAAACGCTTTCTAACTTGTTTTGATTTTCCACATGACAAAACACTGGATTGTTACTGTGCGTGTGTGTATGCACGTGTGTGTATTCGTGTGTCTGTTTCACACCGACAGTCAGAACTGTCTGCAGCCCTGCCATTTCTAAGCAGCATTAGATCCTAGCATCCAAATGGGAAGACAGAGAAAAAGCTGCTCGTGAATCCCAGCTGCAATCCTCCTTCCCCCACTACCTCAGGAACAAGTCATCAGGATGGGAAACACTAATATTTTGTGAGCCTCATCTCTACCAACTAACAAGCGATAGTTACTCGGCCCCTTTATCTCACCCCAACTATGGCTCAAAAAGTACAATTGCCTATAACGTCATCAGTGTCTCAGCTCCTTGATGGGTCAGTGATTTGGAAGGGGCTGGACTCACCCAAGGCAACATGGCTCTGGGTCCCTGCTGGCTTGGTGCTGTCACACTCACATGGGTTAGAGACAAACCCTACTGGGCAATAACAGGTGGCTTCTAGCATGATGGGCAGGAAGCTTTTATCCCATATGGAAAACACGATGGAGAAAAAAAAGAGCTTGCCCTTTGCAGTCTGCCAGACCTAGCTCACAACGCTTGGAAGCTATTTATTGTCCGTGGTCTCACTTTCCTCGTCTAACTGGGACTAATACGATCTACCTTCTTGTGACTAGATCTGAGGTATAAAAAGGGTCTCCCAAAGTTTCTGGCACAAGGGAGGCCCCAGGGATGCCTTTCCCCCCAAGACAGATGAAGCCAAGGCCCGTGTAAGAAGTAGCTAAGCCTCTTCTCCAGATCTCTCTTTGATGGAGACACTGGGTTCCCCTCTGTGCAGGCGAGCACTCCATGAACGCTTGTGAGTTGATTAACTCCCAACCCCAGAGAGAGTATTCTGGAGGCTGAGACGAGGCTTATGTAAAGCTGGCTTAAACATCAAACATGTTAGATATCAATGAAATAGGCTTTTCAATCTCATTTAGGGGTTTCACTCATTTTGCCTTCAGCTCCTTGAAGGGATTGATCAGATCAATCTGTTGTGAAACTTTCTGCTCACTCTGATCTCCTACTAAACGCTGGGCAAGGATTTTCTATTCCCTCTGCCATAGGCCTCCCCTTATTACTCGAAAATTTTGTGTTATTATAGTTGCGATTGGGAAAAGGTGAGAGTAAGAAGCGCTTAGCAATGCAGCACATTTTTTGGTCCTGTTGTAGCCACACTCTCACAACAGAGATCATGTGAGGAGAAAGTGTTATCAGGCCAGAGATATTCGAGCTATCGGGAGGTAGAGTCTTTCTAAACTCCTGGGATAACCACTCCACTGTGTTCCATGTCTCGTGGCCTAAATCAGTTATTTTTTAATTTAGTGACCTTGACTATATTTTGTATACATGCTAGCTGAGTTCCTATTCTTCAGGCCAAATTCTTTTTAAACGTCTTTTCCTCTGTGACAGCAGTGTTTCAAACGTGGTGGTCCTGTACCGAAGAAGATGACTGCTCCACAGAGGTAAAACTCTGAAAGAGTCCTTAGAAAACTAAGGCTCTGTAGCCAGATTGGAAATGCTAGACATGTAGTTATCCTCCTGCTTTCCCTGCCCCCGTTAATTTATCATTCATTCCTTACGCTAAAAATAAAAATTGGTAAATGGTGATCTCCGTAGGCATTCGTTAATAAGCACGTTTTCTCCCGAATGCCCCTACCAGTGTTCATTTCTCTGAGGCATGCCTGTCCTGAATCTACTAGCCTTCCCTTAAAAGATGGGGAAGGAAGCATGGCTCAGGGCTAAGATGCAGGGGATGTGAGTCTCCAGTGATGGTCAGTAGCAGGGTAATCTTGTTGAAAAACAACTGTAACAACAAAACATGTTTACACTACTTGTGATTTAACCCACATTCAAATAGAGTCCAAAGATGACAGCCAAGTGCCAAGAGAGAGTTGGCGTTAAACCTCATCTAAAGGCTGAAAAAGCCTTCTCTTCCTCTCTCTTTAAACAGCAGTGTTTCCATTAAAGAGGCAGTATGAACAGATCAGTTTCAGCAGAACACCCAAGCCATAATTTGGCTTTTCACGTGTGCCTTGGTGGGTTCCAGTTGCCCAAACTATAACCTATGCCGCCGCCGCAAAAAAAAAAAAAAAGATCCCAAGGACTCTTTCCCTTTTGGTGCTTCTCCCCTTGACCTTCTAAAGCGGTCTATTATTGGATGCATTCCTACCCTACTTAATATCACAGACTGAAAAATGTCAGGAGAAAAAGAAGAAGACGGATCATCTCCAGCTGGATAAAGGTGAAGACAAAGAGGAAGCAGGGGCCCCAGTCAAGCCACCTACAGCCAGCCAGACGTCCTCAGCATGGTCCCACATTCTCCAAGGTAGGGCAGTGCCCCGGTTAATGCTCCCCCTCCTGTGGAGAGGAGGGGAGGGCAGGGGGGTCACCATCTCACCACCTGGCTGTTGTAGTCCTCCGTGACTGCCCCCTCTGGGTTCCCGTCCTGTCTGGGCCACCGGCGGCCCCTGTGCTCCCGCTGCAGCCTCCGCTCCCCGCGCCTCTTTTGCCGGTCCCTCTGGCGCTCCAGCTGCTTGGTACGGTGGTAGCGCTGCTGGAAGAGATCCTTCGCGTACGCGTACAGCTGCACGTCCAGGAAGTTGAGCTCCTCGATGCGCTGGCGGGCACCCTCGTTGATCTCCACGTTGGAAGCCCGCGTGACGTTGAACTGCGTGAAGGGGGAGATGAACTTGAGGTTGAATGTCCTCTCAAAGAGAAATTGCGTCTTCCGCTGGAACTCCGTGAGCCCGAAGAAAGCCATGTTCTTCAGGTTGCTCTTGGCGCTCTGCAGCAGGATGGCGTTCCTCTCGCTCTCATTCATGAAAGTCAAGTTGTAGCAGCCCACCAGGCTGAGGTCGGCCAGCATGCGCACCTGGCGGTTGTTAGCCAGGTTGTAGGTGCAATCCATGAATTCCCGTAGGCTGACCCCAGACCAGTCGTCCCCGGGGTAGCAGGTAGGCAGCTCATCGGGGGTGGGGCTCCTCCCATCGCACACGTGGAGGGAGGTTTTCCACGTGGCCCCTCTCTGGACGTGTTTCCACTCGCTCAGGTACCGGGACACCGGATCCCGCAACATGGTGATGTAATAGAAATTCCTGGAAGAGATTAGACGAAGAGCGTCAGTCCGCCGTAACTATAACCCTGGGACCCCGCGCCTCTGTAGCGTCTGTATCAGCATTGACTCAATGGGTTTTTCTGCCAGATGGTCACGTGAGAATATCTGCCTGGATTTGCACCTGTCAGGCCACGTTCCCCTATGTGCGTGTTTCTACAATACAAACACGCATGAGTCGGTTTTCAGTACTATTTGCTGGGTTTTTTCTTTCTGCTCCAGGGTGGGGAGGGGCGGGGCTGGGGGAATCGATCAGCAATAATTCATTCAGCAACCATTCACTGTTCAGTCGCTACCAGCAATAACAATACCTTACATTAAGAGAACACGCCATGTTTATTGAACGTTATCACCCATCTGATATCTTATTTGATCCTTAAAAGGAACTTTTGTAGTAGACACGGGGGACTATTTGATAGGGAAACAGTGCAAGGGGGTTAGGATGATTTACCCAAAGTCATGTGACTAGAAAGAGCAAAGCTGGAAGCCAAGTCTCCTTAATCTTTCCTGTTCACAGGGGTGTTCTGGGTTAAGAGGTGGGTGGGGTAGGGGAAGGATGTGTTGTGTGTGGAGACCAATATTTACCGAGCAGTTACTGTGTGCTAGAAACTGAGCTGGGTACTTTATGGATACTGGCACAGATCACCTTCAACATAACTTTGTAAAATGGGCTTTATAACGACTTTTTTAAAAAAAGCTGATAACACAGAGACTGAGAAAGGTGAAAAATATAGCCCAAGATCCTAGAGCAAATTAATACTTGATGCAATAAAATTTAGGCCTATTTGATTCCAAAGCTTCTGTGCTTTCCTGGGCACCATATTGATATTTTAAAAACAAAAATGTAACTAATATTTATTGAGTGCCTACGAATTGTCAGGTGTGGTGGTTATTATAATCACAGGTCTCATCTCATCTAATGGCATCTATTGGAACATTGAGAAGAGATACATTTCATAAATGGCTAGCTTCAGAATGATCAGGTAAAGATTAGGGCACCACTGGCTCAAAAGGGCAAGAGAGGTGTGAAGAGGCCAGAAGAGATGTGGAAAAGTCGACAGATAAAGACACAGCAGTATATATGTGTTAGCATACGGTATTTGTTTTTCTCTTTCTGACTTACTTCACTCTCTATGACAGACTCTAGGTCCATCCACCTCACTACAAATAATTCAATTTCATTTCTTTTTATGGCTGAGTAATATTCCATTGTATATATGTGCCACATCTTCTTTATCCATTCATCTGTCAATGGACACTTAGGTTGCTTCCATGTCCTGGCTATTGTAAATAGAGCTGCAATGAACATTTTGGTACATGACTCTTTTTGAATTATGGTTTTCTCAGGGTATATGCCCAGTAGTGGGATTGCTGGGTCATATGGTAGTTCTATTTTTAGTCTTTTAAGGAACCTCCATACTGTCCTCCATAGTGGCTGTATCAATTTACATTCCCACCAACAGTGCAAGAGGGTTCCCTTTTCTCTACACCGTCTCCAGCATTTATTGTTTGTAGATTTTTTGATAATGGCCATTCTGACTGGTATGAGGTGACACCTCATTATGCTAACACACATATATGGAATCTAAAAAAAAAAAGAAGGTTCTGAAGAACCTAGGGGCAGGACAGGAATAAAGATGCAGACGTAGAGAATGGACCTGAGGACACGGGGAGGGGGAAGGGTAAGCTGGGACGAAGTGAGAGAGTGGCATGGACATATATACACTACCAAATGTAAAATAGATAGCTAGTGGGAAGCAGTCGCATAGCACAGGGAGATCAGCTCGGTGCTTTGTGAGCACCTAGAGGGGTGGGATAGGGAGGGTGGGAGGGAGACGCAAGAGGGAAGGGATATGGGGATATATGTGTATGTATAGCTGATTCACTTTGTTATACAGCAGAAACTAACACAACAATGTAAAGCAATTATACTCCAATAAAGATGTTTAAAAAAAAAAAAAGACACAGCAGTAGGCATTAGAGGAAAGCAAACATTGATTCCAAGTAAGGAAAATCTTTCTCATCATTTGAGCAGCTGCCAATGGAATGGGCTGCCCACCCCACCTTTATCACCAGGGGTGACACTCAGGGTGCCCCTGGGCAGACTAAAACTGTGCCACCAGGGAAGCCCCAGACAGATTTTTGAATGCTCAAATAAGATCACAGATGGGGGGGCTTCCCTGGTGGCGCAGTGGTTGAGAGTCCGCCTGCCGATGCAGGGGACGCGGGTTCGTGCCCCGGTCCAGGAAGATCCCACATGCCGTGGAGCGGCTGGGCCCGTGAGCCATGGCCGCTGAGCCTGTGCGTCCGGAGCCTGTGCTCCACAACGGGAGAGGCCACAGCAGTGAGGGGCCCGCGCACCGCAGGGAAAACAAAAAAGATCACAGATGGGAAATCTGTAAGTTCCCTTGTCAATTGGACAAAACGGAAAACACAAAAGAGGATTTAAACAAGAAAGATGATGACTATCGATTGATAAGACTCAACCCCATTTATGTGTCTCAAATTTAGACACAATCCAGATTTTTAAAATAATCATAAGAGCTGGAGGATTTTAGGGCTGGGAATTACAACAGCTTGTGACATAAAGGGTTAACTGGAACTTGCTGCTGGAACCTGAGAGGCTTTGGTCTCACTTGGGAAAATTAACTGGCCATAGAGTTCCCTGTGCTTTCTTTGCATTGGACTCCACATGGTCTCAAAGCTAACTGAAACTAGCTTACACTTTAAAATGATCTTGGTTTCAAATTTAACTTTATTCAATGTAACACTGCATTTAACAAAGACTAGCTAAGCTGTAGAGTGCTGTTTACATGAGTAAAATAAGCCCCAAATGTCTGCAAGTTCTACTAGCCAAATAGGACAGAGGTCCATTTGTAACGAAAACAAACTCTGACATCAAGACACAAAAATGGACTAGGGCAACATTCATATTGATGAAGTACAAAGTTGTCCAATCTCATGGTTCTGGAACCAAGTGCCTAATAGCATTTGGGTATTGCTTTAGTCCGACATATTCTCATGTATGTTTTATTTGTTTGTCTCAATCTTGCAAAGCAGTCAAAATACCAAGCTAGAATAATAGTAAAAAGAAAATAGGGTTGAAGAACACCTAATTATTGAAGAAGAAAACACAATTTGATCGATTAAAAGCATTTTTTCTCATCTCTATTTTTTTCTCTACTTTCATTTGCTCCTCTACTATCAGACGGAAAACTGCAAAAGTCATTGATGAAATGATGTCTACCTCCAGGCCACACGCCCAACCTTCATTGTGTATGTACAAGCTTCACTCCAGTTTCATGACTCTCTTCCCTGCTCCCAAACAACAGAAACTCATTTTCTTCTGCTCCCATAACTCTCAATTTAGTTTCTAAGAAAATTCGTTTTTTTTTTTAGAAAATACAAAATATTTTATTTTAAAAAATTTTTATTTTACATTGGGTTATAGTTGATTAACAGTGTTGTGTTAGTTTCAGGTATACGGCAAAGTGATCCAGTTATACATATACATGTGTCTATTCTTTTTCAAATTCTTCTCCCATTTAGGTAATTACAGAATATTGAACAGAGTTCCCTGTGCTATACAGTCCTTGTTGATTATCTGTTTTGAATACAGCAGTGTGTACATGTCAATCCCAAACTTCCAATCTATCCCAAACCAAGGAAAATTCTTAAAAATACTCTGAAATCTGCAACTTTCCTTTTCAAACGTTAATTGTTCAACAGCACAATGGAGGGTAAAACAGAGACCAGAGAAGAAGGACAAGCAGCTCCCAAGCAAAGGCCATGTGGCCACATGCAGAGGCTCTCATCAACACCCGTTCCTTTTTTTTTTTTTTTGCGGTACGCGGGCCTCTCACCGCTGCGGCCCCTCCCGCCGCGGAGCGCAGGCTCCAGACGCGCAGGCCCAGCGGCCATGGCTCACGGGCCCAGCCGCTCCGCGGCACGTGGGATCCTCCCGGACCGGGGCACGAACCCGTGTGCCGTGCATCGGCAGGCAGACTCTCAACCACTGCGCCACCAGGGAAGCCCAATTCAATGATTATTTTAACTGATGATTATCATAGGGACCATCTTGGCTTACAAAAGCACAAATACACAGAACACACACTTTTCAGTCTCTTGCTCTACAGTAAGGTAATCCTATTAAAAAATTCTAAACACAGCACAAGGACATGACTGCCTTCCTTCAGTCTTTGCCTTTTCCTTCACTCATCTGCATCCTGCTCGTCTTTCCTGGCCCAGCTCAAGCCTCATTTCCATCTCCTCTGACCTTTCTGGCCTCGAGGATTTACTGCATCACTTACTATGCTTTTAACGTGCGTATGAAAGTCTTGGTCACATCTACCCTTTAAGTTCCTCTTTGACCACTGGACCTTAGGCCTGGTGTCCCATGGCACCTCCACAAATCCTGCTCTCTGCAAGCATTCAATAAATGATACCGTGGAAAAGAAGTGACCTTCATACGAGATAAGTGTATTTTAATGACTAAGGTTAATATTGCCTTTGATAAATAGACCCTTCTTTTCTCCCCTAAAAACTAATCTGACATTATTTTTGAATGTCCAAAATGTGTGAAAAGAATAAAAATGCATATAATCTTCTAATACATCCATCATTCGATTGTGATGGTTGATAGGCAGAGATAGAGAGAGGTAGAGAGAGAGAGAGAGACAGTCAATACAGACTTTGGGTAAAAAGCAGAATATTTCATACACCAGATAATTAATAGAAATGAGTTTTTTTAATGTTAAACTTAGTAGTTTTCTTCCCCTCTCCTTCAAGAACCTGTATTTCAACAAGCAGTTTATTGTATAATTGCTCATTTCTTTAATTAGCAAGTCATTTAATTAACACATGCTTATTGAGGGTTTGTTGTATGTAAGGAGCTGCTCTAGGAAATGTGGAGAATAAAAAAAAATAGAACATACTCAAGTATTGTAGGTGTAAAAGTGGTAGATTAGAAAAAGAGGCATGGAT